TTTGTTTGAAAATTCTTAAAATGCACTTATGTTTTAATAATAATCTTGTTAACATAAGCTGGTATGGATTTTTACAAAAACATTTTTAAATTGAAAAGGACCGGGCAGACTACAAATACCGGTCGTCGGTCACTCGTCTCGCTATGCTAAAAAGCATAAACACCATTGTAAAACCGCGCGCTGTAACGATAATATTTAGTATCTTTATCTAGGAGATGCAGTCACCGCCGGCACCAGGTCCCAGCGATCAACAGCCTCGTCCGTTTCCTGAGTGGGCCGCTAGATGGACCGGGTCGTCTGCGTGTCGACCCGGCCCGTCCGAATGGCTCGTACCTTCCCGCGGTGTTAGTGTGACAGTAAAGACGCGGATTCTATCGTCGCGTCGCGAAGCTAAAGTGATTAAACTCTTGACTGGCTGCTGAGTGCCGGGGGTTTCCAGACGGAGGATGTTCCGGCGAGATCGGGGGCTACATACTCATCTCTACCTGGGTGGTCGGCGGTCTTTTCGCACCCCGACCGCCTGATAGGTCGTCTCGCGGAATGCGTACGGTCGGCCCACATACCCCAGGCAACGGGTATTGCGTTATAAACGGCGATTCGGTAGACATCCGGAAGGTTTCGGTTTAAACTGACTACTCATTCGCGCTGGTCTTAGGGCACCGAGATACGTCCTAATCACGACATCACTATGGTGAGGAGATCGGGCTGGCTCTGGCCAATGGCGTCGAACGGGGCCTCCGGCAACGGCCGTGGACTCCGGGGTCTGCGATCGGTCCCGTGCGGATGGCTTCGGTCGGACTCATGAATTTCGTTAGGTAGCGCGTAAAAGCCAATGGCAACTCACCCGACGGCGGCATGGCCGTGCGCAGCCGGAACGGCTGGGAATTGAGCGGGTGCGGTTAGCGGGGGATCGCGCTTTGATGCGCCGAATGCATCCGAACAAACATCTGGGTTTCCTGAATTTCCGTGGCCCTTGACTATAACTTTTCAGACTAATTCCACGGTTGTAGCACTTGGCGCATCAGAATCAGTGCACGCGCACTGTAACGATAATAATGTTTTACGAACAATTTAATTTGCATCGTCTTGGTAACTAAATCGACAACCGCAACTATGTACCAGTAACTACGGAAATGACGGATGCAACGGTGATATAAGGCGTTCTAAACTAAACGTTTAGAAACGTAAAATCCAAAAAGATTAGGACTCAATTTATTTGTTATCGAGCATTTTGAAACGATACATAGTAAGGAGCAGAATAGGCAACCGCGTAAAATGTCGACCGTTACGTCACGGACGGGATATTTCTACAGACTAATGGATTGCTAAACACTATTCGATTACCTGCGTACCGTACATTACGCGCAGATTGCGTATTGGTATTACGTATGTGATACAGTTTTCCCACCTAACAACCTACGGTTCGCTGCGATCTGTTATTCGGCTGTCAACAAGGATATTCTATAATTTTATAACATTTTAAAAGTTAATAAGTTTATATAAACAGTCACCTAAGAAAATTATATTTGTCTTTTTCCTTTCTTTTTTTTTTCTCATTCTCAGAAATATTTTGTTTCTATAGAGCGTAATTATTTTAGCGGTGAGTTTTCATAAAGAATTACATCATTTACGTCGATTTTTAAGAATTTTTAATAAAATATTAATCCACAGTTGTACCCGAGGGACCTCTTCACGTAATGTAATACAGTTGAAAATAAAAATCTAACCGTGCAAACCAGTCTCGTCGGTCGCCCGCCCGCTCGCTAAATCGCGTTCAATTGGGACATTTGCTCGCTCTCGTCGAATATCGCGTCGCGCGGCCATTCGCCCGCTCGTTCGCCCGCCCGCCCGCTCGGAAAATCGCGTTCAGCTAGGACGTGCCGTAAACGGTTGAGGGTCCGCGATTTATGCGCGTCGGAACCCGTACCGTCCGTGGAAATTGACCGCGTACCGGAATCATCAGCCGTGGCTGTCTGACAACGCGGCGTACCGACGGAACCGTAGCCGGCGCAAGCTCTTCCGGCGCCCGAATCGGAATCGATAACACCCGAAAAAAATAAATATTATTTATCGAATTTCCAGATAACCGTATAGGTGTATTTTTGTTTTCACGGATAAATATATGTATATACATATAATGAAATACAGTATTGATCGCAAGAGGATTGTGCAAAAACGTAGGTCGGCGCGAAGTTTATCAAAACTACAATTGTACACTTATCGATTCGACTGCCGATAATACACCGTTAACAATTTCGTAAGCAACTTCATTTTCTATAGATAAAATAGCCGAATTCGATAACCTCCCTTGGCTCATATAGTGGTCTAAAAAATGCATTATGAGTATGAGTTTTCTAAAGCTACGTTCACGCGTAGCTGTACGGTGAAAGAGATAAGTTTGGATTTTTAGTTTTCAAAAGATTGTCAAGATTCAACGCCCCCGTAATGATGGGGCCTCGGCGCCTGAGGCGAATTCCTCAGTCCTCCTTCACCCTTGCTACGGGCCTGCATACCGATGATATTGCTTGTTGTTCCATGCAATTCCCGACGATCGAACCGAAACTTTAACCAATCGAAGTAAATCGAGAGTTAATATTATAGACCGGTGTATAATTTATGCGGGGAAAAATTTAACCGAAGAGAAGGAAATTGTTGGGATAGGCGTCGTACAATTCGACTCAATTTTATCTGCCCTAACATTAACATTGGCATATTATAGTAATTGGTTTAGTTACACTGTTCTGAGAATGACGAGAAGAAGAACCTTATTCTTTATATATTAAAGAGGTTCAAATAGGTTTCGTATTTAATAAGGAAATTTACCTATAGTTAAGGTTTTTTTTTCTTGATTTATTAACTCATTACTTATCGATAATTTCTGTTTTTTCTAACTAAAACGTAAAGGAATTCTAATTTAAAAAATAGATATTCGTATAAATAATAGCTATTTAAAAAAAATGTCGACGCAGGAGATATGTCTCCCTGAACGGAGCCTTAAATACACTTCTGAGGGAAATACCTTGAGTTTTTGGGCTATATGTCGGGGTTCCCAACTGTCCCAACATCCAAATAAACAATAAGGAAACAACCTCTGAAGTGATTTTCAATACTTTGGATCGATAATTTTTTTATCAAGGTACGTCACATTTGACGGCAAAATCCATTAAAATAATAAAACGTACCTACTTCATTGACCATTTTAGAGAAAGTAGAATTGACATTAATAAAAAAGAAAAGAAAAGAAAGCGCTTACGACGGGTTAGAAAATGGATTTATTATAGTAGACGATTGGGAGCTACAAATGTTCTTCCAAGAGTACTGGAACTTGAAACTCCCAAAGAATATTTTGCTACATTATTATAGAATGACAGACAATTATTTTTTGAATTTTTACCAAACAAAATACAATTATTTAAAACGCAAGGGAACGATACGCGTTTAAAAAGTGCAATCACCGTATGACGTATTATAGGTATGTACCTACTAAAAGTGCATACTGTAAGTAATAATCGGTTATTTGTCGGTTGCATAAGCAAATGTAACTATGTTGCGGTTCGAGGACCGCGTTCGCATATATTAATAATAACTAACGAATAAATAAAAAAACTGTCGGGCGGTAAAATTTCACCACAGCCACACGGCCCGTGTAACCGTTTACCCCCGGGTAAAATTTCAAAAGAGAAATTCGGCCGGAGGGGAGTCGGGCAAAATGTCGGGGGGGAGGGGGTGGTGGGAGGCGGGAGAGCGGGGAAGGGGTCGGCGACCGCCGGCGAAATTTTACTCCCCCTCCGCCCGGGTCGAATATCCGCGCGGGGTCGCCGCGGGTCGGTCGGTGGGTTCGAATCGCGCGGTCGTGCGGCGGTCGGCAGCGATCATTATTACGAACGGTATAAAATATAATATTCCATTACGCACAGGGAGACGCATGTCTATGCGTACGCGTCGAATATTATCGTTATCATTATCGTTATTATCGTTATTATCGTTATTATTATTATTATTATCGCTACACCGCGCGTATGAATAATAACGTATTTCGGAATCCGACGGCTGGCCGCGGAGAAAGTTCACGATCGTCGCAATCCGTACAATATACGCGTTTACCATGCACGCGTATGATGATAATAACAACAATAATAATATTAATAATAATAGTATCCCGCGTCGGGGCCGCGACGTGATTTCCAACGGAACGGGGAAAAAAAAAACAAAAAAAAAAAACGAACGGACCACGTGCCACGTGTAGGCCACTGTTTTTCGGCCGGAAATATTGGGGAGGTAGAGGATATAGAGGGGGTTTCGATTCGTATCTGCGCGCGACGGTTAATCGTCGCTGACGAAAAACGATTCTGAGCCAAGTTTCTTTGACGCACGTACGTACGTTTTCCGGTCTTATCCTTATACGCGTTTTCCGATTGTAACGAAAGCCACTTGGAAAATCAAAAACACCACCTCTTCAAACAGTAGCGCCACCCGGAGACCGGGAAGTTTCCGGGCGGGCCGGATACTCAGTCGTGACTCCGTGACCGGCGTTATCATCGTAAAACTGATTTTATGCATAAAATCGTTCTTTTATTATTTTTCGATAAAAAAAAAAAATGACGTGTTGTCTTCGATGATGAAGAGTAAAACGATCGCGATTTGAGATAATACGATTGCCTATATAAGGTGGTTAAATGTGTCGTGTCCACGGATATAGAAAACAAATAATTGGGCCGGTGATACGAAATTCACCCGATTAAAATTCAGAATCCACCGCGGTCTCGAAAGCACCAGTCGGATAAGATTACCTTTCGGAAAAGGCGCTACTCTCGGAACGCCATGGAAAAGTTGCTCGCAGAAAAAGAAAATTAACGTCATGGTAAAACCGGCTATATGACACACGTGCCAAAGGTACGAAACTGACATATCATTTGCGCCAAAATTTGTAGCACATAAGCGCCGATCTAACATTATACACCTGTTACAACCGACACGTGACATAAGCGCCAAAACGAAAAATGAAAGTATTAAATAAATATAAACGTGATAAATCGGTTGATTGCGGTGTTATACGAAAATCTGCAAAAGCATCAGATACTTCCAAACCGAAAAAAAAAAAACTCCAACCAAATCCCTGTTTCAGAGTTCTTCATGTATTCATTCCGAAGACCCAAGCTTTTAATTTTCCGAAATCACGCAACCGCCCTAAATGTCTAAATATGCAACATTTTATTTTTGAATTCGGAAAAACAGCCGACGTCCGTCATATGGCCGCTTTTTCAAAATTAACTATGAGTGTCTTCGAAGAAAATTCTAAATTATATTTTTCACACGATGTTTGTATGTATTTCCACATTGGTTCGTAGCAAGTTGAAATTTCACGTGGTGGTAGACAGTAAATTAAATGTAAATAGCTTCCACAGCTCGTATACAGCTGGTAATAGCATTCGATGGTCCGTCGGTAATATTTTCAGTTGCTTTTCATTCACAATTATTACGCAAAATACGACACTGGGCATCATGGTCGTTCATTATACCGCGTAAATGCTCACCATTAACACGAACAATTGCTGTCATAGATTTATCCATCTCTATTTTAGCGGAACGTTTTTTTTTTTTTTTTTTTTTTTTTTTTTTTGACACACCCAATGACACATTACCACTGGCCATTTCTCGTAAAAATCTATGTTTTTGTTCTTTAAATAAAACGCACACAACGCCTTTATTCGTAATAGTTTTTATAAAAATCATTTTAACGAATGACGCTTACACGAATGCTTACGAAGCGATACTAATAGTATGTTATAACGCAAAACTACTCGCACGTTGTCTTATGTCAGTGTTTCCCAACTCGTTTTACTCACGGAACCTTTTCGGGAACTCGCGTGTTCGGCGGAACCACCATTCATTTTTTTTTTTTTTTTTTTCATAATCACATAACGGAGACATAGTTTTTGGACGCTCAAATGAGTGGGCAGTCCGAGACTTCCGGCAAAATGTTTGTAGGCAATCACTTTCCATGGCATTCTAGAACTCGTCGATTTTAATTATAAAGAAAAATTTAAATCGAAAACGTTGTTTACTAATTTTATTTTTTCCCGAATTCCTCACGGCACCCTTGGCGCTGGTTCACGGAACCCCCGGTTTCCGCGGAACACCAGTTGGAAAACACTGGTCTATGTAACAGTCTAACGTAATCGGACAATAAATTTGTCGATTACGACTAAACGTTTGGAGTTTCCGAACGATGTAGTTGTAAATTTGATATCCGTAATTTATCTGATATTTAATATCAATTGACCGTGGCACACAGGTGCCTAAGATTTTGGCGCTTTAGTACGATACGGCTTTTTTTTTTCTCCTCGTCTCATTCTGGCGCTTACGTCTTTCACCGGTAAAACCAACACGTTCATCGCTCCGCTCCGCGTCCAAGAGAATAGACTCTGGAAGGAAAAATATTATCGATTATTATTATTATGGTTATTTTATAGCCCGTACGCAGCGGCTCTTTGCACGAGTGCGTGTATCATCGAAATATACTGGATTCCATTTGGTTTTCGTTGTTCGGAATAATTTGTCAGTGAAATATTACTCGAGCGAATATTACTCCGCTGTTGCCCGCGGTGCACCGCGTAGAGGTTTCTTCCGTGTATCCCTTTCACGTGGTAATGAATAAACAACGGGCCCCGCCTATTGAAACGTCCCAAATTCCCCTATAACGCGCAAGGACGAAAAGGACCTCACAGAAGCAAACAAGAACGCTGTGGACACGGCCATGTGTACTTGGTCGAAGTATTTATGGTGTCGCTCTGGATAAATATGATCCAAAAACCACCAGAACTATTTCCATTTGTTGTTGACGACACGCCTTATTGAACGGTCGAAATGCAGAGGAATTACGTTCAATTAAAACGCGAATTATTTCGCGGTGAAAATGAAAAATTCTGAAAAAAAAAAAAAATCGTTAGACCGACCGAGGCATATTGTAAGTAAACACTGTAAAATGTGTATCGGGTCCGTTTGCTCCGAACTCAACCGAAGAGGAGTGACACAACCGTCGATGATCGCGGTGAGTATTTGTACGGTATACCGTGTATTGCGCGCGAGACAAACGGAGAAAACGAATTACGTGAAGAGGTCCCTCGGGTACGACAATAATATTTAGTTTTCGTAAACGCCGCCGCGTACGAGAGCAAACGGCGAATAGGTACACAGTGGAAAGAAAAAAAAAAATCATAAATATTACGTTTTATACCCTACGGGCGTTGTGCAACCCGCCCGACATATTGGCCATTGTACGTGTGTTAGTACGCACGTACCTATCAATTATACCCTATTATTCGACATCTGTGTGCGCTGTACACACGCGGCGAAATAACAATAACACTGGTAGTCGGGTGTAGATGCACGATAAATATTAATACTGGGCGGAGATTGAGACGGCCGAAACGCGTTTGCCGTCGCCGGATAAAAATCCGGCGAGAAAACCGATTTTTTGTGTGTCGATGTATACCCTTTAAACACACCAGGAGAACGGAATACTGGGATCCGTTGGTGTACGAGACCATTACCTTCTCAAACGTCTTGTATTTCGGTCGCGCGTAACACCGGCGGCGTTCCCGTCGATTTTTTTCGAGTGTTACACTGCGGTCTAGGCCGTGTGCCTTGCACGAGACGTGCATTGTATCTGTCGCGCGGTTTATGCAGCCACCCGCCTAAATGTTTGTAGGAAAACAGATATCGATCGAAATTTAAATGAATATGCAATGTAAACCGTAATCCGCAGGAAAATGGTGAATTTTAAATTCTGAGCGGAGCGAGAAATGTATTGGTTTTACAATGACGTTTATTATTATTACGAGGGTTGTCCCAAAAGCAATGCACAATTTGCTCTGAATATATAAGTTTTTATTTTAAACTAAATACAATATTATAGACCTTCGATATAATCTCCCTGCTTGTCTATACACGATTGCCATCGTTTCGGGAGCGCTTGAACGCCGCATAGGACGCCATCTTTGTCGAGTTCACGGATCCTTCGGCTCGCTTCTTCATTTAGTATATCTAAGTTGGGAAAACGGATCCCTCTAAGTGGTTCTTTCAGTTTTGGAAACAAACCAAAGTCCGGGGGACTTAAATCCGGCGAATACGGCGGGTGTTTGAGGCGTTCCCATCCATATTTCTCCAAAAGAGCGACGACTGGTGCCCCGATATGCGGCCAAGCATTATCGATGGACACACTATTTTGTAACATTCCTGGTCGCTTTTTACGGATTTCTGGTCGCAATTTTTTGGCAAGGAATGTTTTGTAGTAATCCCCGGTTACACTACTGCCAATTGGAACTCGATCAGTGACAATTATCCCAAGTTTATCGTAAGCAAAAATCATCATTTGTTTCACCTTTGTTTGCTGGCGACGAACTTTTTTTGCTCTTGGTGATGTTATTCCCTTCCAAATATTGCTTTGAGATTTTAATTCCGGCTCAAAATCACGGATCCAAGTCTCATCTATTGCAATTATACGATCAAGAAACGTTTCTTTTTCATTTTCGTAGCGAGAAAGGAGTTCACGGCAGATGTCTTTGCGTGTATCCTTCTGTTCCGGTGACNACACTTCATTTAACGCGGCATGAATTTCAGGCACTGTTTTACCACGAATCGTTTCGATTTTAATGTATGCGCGTTGTTCAAAAACAGAAATGTGAGCCGACGAATTGTTCTCACTTTCGTTATCGCTCTCACACATCATCATACTTTACTAAAACAACTAAAACTGAAAACGCACGTGTTCGTTAGACTTCAAGCTACAAACTGATACTAAAATCAGCTGATAATATCACATTGCAAGACAGCTAGAGCGCGCTGTGCATTACTTTTGGGACAACCCTCGTATTATTTTATTTTATTTTTTCTGTAAACAACTTTTCTACCAGAAATTTTGCTCCGATTTTCAAGCGAAGCATTTTTTTCTGAAAGGAAATCTGACTGCGATGGTACTTTAGAGAGGTGATTTTTTTTTTTTTACTTCTAAAATTGTTATTACTGAAACAAATACATTTAGTGTTACGATTTCGGCGGTACAAGCGATCCGAACGGCGCTAAATCACGACGATTTCGTTCGTTCGATAAAACCTATATGATTTTTTATTTTTTTTTTTCTTAAACAAAACGCCGAGAGTGCAATATACGCTATACCGTACGCGGCGCGCGTGTGCAGTACAACTCACGAGAACGCCACCGCGTAACGCGGACCAATCGGCAACGGACATCGGATTTGGCGGAACGGGGAAAATCTGATCGCGTAAAAACACACACACTCCGCGTGCAAAGAGCGCGCGCGCACGCGCGAACTTGACCCGGCGTGCACTGTGCGGTGTACGCGACGCCGTACGCTCGGATTTTAACGATATTTTGACACTTCAATTAGCGATTCGCCGAGAAATTATTATCGACGGTTGTTACGGGCTAGCCGCGTACCGTGACGGTCTTGACCCGTCAATTAAACGCCGCGAAGTCGATTGTTTAACCGATAACGGTTACACCCATATCGTAGGTACAGACTTGTACAACGCGCGCGGACAATACATCTGGTGGGTACTCTCGATTGTTCCGATCCGTTGCATTAAAATTATGAACGTTACCGACGCTCGCAATCGGAAACCCATTCGTGATTTCACGACGTTACGCGGATTATATTGTTGTAGAGTAATAATCGCCGCCGTCCGCGCGTAAACGGTAAACGCTCAACTGTCGTCCCCGTCTTACAAACGCGCGTCAAGGCGAATTTCGAATTCGGCGCAATCCGATTTGCGTTTTTGACGTCGTTGACATCGGCGAGCCGATAAATTCGACCGTTATCGAACTCGAACGCGAGAACGCCGTTCCGAGCCGAGACGCGGACGTTTGTAAATTACAACAATTTGCCGTCCCCCGTCGGTTCTTCCGTTGGTTTTGCCCGAGAACTCGTCGTTTTCTTATATATTTCCCCCCGTAACGGTCCGATTTTTTCCTGGGTTCCAAACACTTTCTAAAACGACTTTTCGGCGAAAACGAGTCGTGTCTGCTGGCCCGATCGATTTCGTATGCTTTTTTTTTTTTTAGCGGTTAAAGGCCGCGTCTCATTAACCGCCATTGTGAGATTCGCGGCGCGACCAATGTCGGTAGAAAAATTACCATACCGCACTGTCGGAACAGCCCCCGAAACGCGTTTTGTTCTCGATTTCCCGAAATCGATTAGGAGCGGCCGTTTGGCCGTTGTCGGCCCGAGCCCCGGACACGTTGCCGCGGTTGACCGGGCTCCGCTCGTAAACGTTTTCCGATCGTAACGGCCGCGTCGGTTTCGCGCGCGCGTGAACGAACCTTCGTCGCGCGTAGTGTACGTCAACACACCGTCCGCGTTCCCGCATTCGCCAACGACGGCGGCCTACACCCGCGGCGTGACGCGCATCGGGCGTATTTCGCGCGTTGCGTCCGCGCGTTTTGGCGCATTACCGTGCACGTTACGAATTCCGTTTGGAAACGCGACGGGCGAACGAAACGCATCCGTACGTCGAGTCGTCCGAGCGGCGAACGGAGAAATCCGTTATTTTCGGGTTTTTGTTTATTGACGTTTTAAAACGCGAGTAAAAATTATTCGTCGACCGCGACCGTTATCGGTGAAGAAGACCACGGGCTAATTACAACGGGCCCATTTACGTGTCGGCTATAAATTACGAAAAACGATTGTTTCACGTTTTTCGTTTTTTTTTTTTTTTTTCCACAATATATTATACACGTTTGTGTACGAGTGTATTTTTTCAGTACTCTACGTATTATTATTATTATTTTTTTTTAATGATTCGAAATGCAGCGTTATCGGAACGCGCGCGGGTACGTTTACACGTTTTCAAACGATATTTCAAAACGTTTTTAACGCGCGCACATAAATCCCGTTTCCTACGGTTGTAAACTGGATAATAGTAGCCGAGCTCACAATAATATCGTACGGGCGCATAATAACAATAATTATAATTATACAATAATAGGTGTCTGCGGTATAACTAGCAATAGTAGTAGTAGTAGTAGTAGTAACAGTAGTAATAGTAAGTAATAGTAATAATAATAATAGTAGTAGTAGTAGTGGTGGTGGCAGTAGTGGTTGTATAGTAATAGTGGCGGCGGAACGCGATCGTGGCGGCGGTAGCAGCAGTCGCGGCGGCCCATCGTCGGCGGGTGCGTCGGGGGGGCGGTTGGGTGGGGGACGTTCGCGCGGTCCGCGGCTAGACCGGCGGAGTCGTCGGCGCGCCCGTCCAGGTGGCGTCGCGGTCGCCGTTTTTCCCGCGCAAAAACCGGTCGGGGCAACACTGCGCTCCGGCCCGGCGTCGCCACCCCGCCCGCCCCACCGGCGCGCGCCGCGCTATCGGCCGTATAGTATAAGTGGCGGGCGCGCGCGCGCTCACGATCCGACCGTTACAACACCGATCGGATTTCAAATTCAAAATCGTCAACGACCGTCGCCGCCGCAGCAGCCACCGCCGTCGCCGTCCGCGCTAAAAACCCAATCGTTTCGTCAGTACCGATACGGTTGTTGTTACGATTTCGTTTGTTTTTTTTTTTTCCCTCGCTCCCCGTCCTCGTCGCGGATACCGTCGAAAATTATTTTCCCGCCATTCGCGATACCCGAAAACCGTGTAATAATAATAATATTTCCGCGGCGCGTCTCCGTCGTCGACAGGAAAGACCAGATATATAACATTTGATCGTTTTCGCTGCGATTTTCGGCGCTGAACTCGAATCCGACCGCACACTCGTCGCCGAAATGGTTTTGTCGGACGTGAACGGGAACAACAAGAAGTCGGCGGCCGAACGGTGGCTGAGACAGCGCAACGGACAGCGTGCGTCGGCGGCCCGTTGCATATTCGGGCCGCCCGAAAAGCGGGCGCACCTCATGATGATCATGCGCAACGAGGCCGAGATGGAGCGCAAACGGATCGAATTCGCGGCCCGGTACGAGCCGGTGGGCCTGTCGCCCAGCGAGCGGCGCAAGTTCTACGACGGGCTGATCAAGACGTCGCCCACGTCGTCTTCGCACAACCAGTACCAGCAACGCCAGAACAACCACGGTGAGTCCGCGAGTAGACATTTTTTTTTTTTTTTTTTTTTTTTTTTT